AAAAAAAAAAAAAAAAGAATAGTGGTTAGAAGTTTGGCATCTATTTGCATCAGGCAACCTCAGTTCAAATTCTAGCCCATCTGTGTGACTGATCTTTGAGCCAGTCCCTCCTCCTCTGAGTTCCCCTTCTTTAAAATAGGGAGGAGGGCTGGGGATGTGGCTCAAGCGGTAGCGGTAGCGTGCTTGCCTAACATTTGTGAGGCCGGGTTCGATCCTCAGCACCACATACAAACAAAGATGTTGTGTCCACCGAAAACTAAAAAATAAATATTAAAATTCTCTCTCTCTCAAAAAAACATAAAAAAAAAAATAATAAAATTGGGAGGGTACAGCCAGGCGCATCATGGCATACACATAAGAGTGCTAGCTACTCAGGAGGATGAGGTGGGGAGATCCCTTGAGCCCAATTGTTCAAGACCAGTTGGGCAACTTTGCAAGACCCTATCTCTAATACATAAAAGTTTCCATGTATAAAATAGGGATATTAGGCTGGGGCTGTAGCTCAATGGCAGAGCACTTCCCTCACATGTGTGAGGCACTGGTTTGAATCCTTAGCACCATATTTAAAAAAAAGAAAGAAAGAAAAGAAACAAAATAAAGACATTCTCTCTGTCTACAACTACCAAAAAATTTTTAAAAAAAATTTAAAAATAGGGATATTAACCAGGTGATGGTGCACCTGTAGCCTCAAACACTCAGGAGGATCACTTGAGTTCAAGACCAGCCTGGTCAACAGAGTGAGGCCTGTCTCAAAACAGAAGCTGGGGCTGTAGCTTAGTGGCAGAGCGCTTGCCTCTGAAGCACTGGGTTCGATCCTCAGCACCACACAAAAATAAATAAATAAAGATATTGTGTCCATCTACAACTAAAAAGAAAAAAAAATAGGGGCTGTGTTTGTGGTTCCGCAGTAGAGCACATGCCCAGCATGCATGAGGCAGTGTGCATGAGGCCCTGGGTTCAATCCCCACCATTGCATTAAAAAAAAAAAAGAAAAAAAGACTCAGTAAAATGGTGATGTTGTAAAGACTGAAGATTAAATAAATCTGTATGAAAGTACTTAGCACAGATATTTATTGGGCAGCTACCCTGGAGCTGAGGTTTCAGCTCTGAAGTGTCCACAGCCATGGTCCCAGCCCTGGGAGAAGCTGAAGGTGGAAACTGGGGCAGTGTGGCCCCACCTTGGAGCAGCAGATCAGGAGAGTAGGGGTGGCTCTCCCCAGCTTTCCGAGCTGTTTGAGGTCAGGGGTCCCCTTTGGTTCCCCTTCCTTCCAAGATACTGGGGACTCTTGGTGGGGGAAGGTCCAGTCGGTCATTCCCTCCCCCTTCTTCCCTTCCCTTGTTGTCCCTTCCAGCCGGCGCCTCTCTGAGTTAATCTCCTCGCCCGTCAGGGGGTGACAGGAGGTGTCTGTCATTCGGAGCTGAGGCCGTCAGCCTTGCCAGCTAATTGGGGCACAGGCGCCGGGAGCACGGGAAATGGCCGGAGGGAAGGAGCAGGAAGGAGAGAAGAGAAGGCACCCTCACCATCTTCTCTTCCTGTCTGCTTTGGGCTGATCCACATGGCTCCTCAGGGGAGGAGGAAGACCACCTGGAAGAGGAGTAGGGCTGTGGGAAGGGACTCTGTGACCATGGACAAATTGCTATTCCTTTCTGGGCTTCATATTATTCATAATGATAACAGCAAGCCTTTATTGAGCAATTACTGTGTAAATCCTCCAATGGTTTTCTATGACTTCTCCCAAGGACCAGAGGCCCCTAGCCTCTGCTTGCTGGTCTTGCTCCAGTCACTCCAACCTCCTGAAGAGCAAGCTCTTCCTGCCTCAAGGGCTTTGCACTTGCCATTTCTGCTCCTTGGAAAACCTTCCTCTACTACTTAACATGGTTGACTCCTTCTCATTCTTCAGGTCTATGCTTCAAGGACACCTCAGAGACAGGTTTCTAACCATTTTATCCAAAATTCCTCTCTCTCACCTCCAGTTACCCTGTTATGTCACACTGTCAGATTATCCTATTTATACTTTCACAGTGTTTGTCATGATGTGAAATTTTAATTTACATATTTGTGGCTGGTCACGGTGGCATACGCCTATAAGCCCAGCTACTCTGAGAGGCTAAGGCAGGAAGGACCACAAGTTCAAGGCCACACTGGACAACTTAGTGGGACCCTGTCTCAAAATAAAAAAACCTAGGGGTGAAGTTCCATGTTAAAATATTCCTGAGTTCGATACCCAGGATGTATGTATGCATGTGTATATATCTCTCTATATAGATATCTCACATACCCATACAAATTTACATATTTGTGACTTATATTGATTTCCCCTTCTCAGATTGGAAACTCCTGAGAACAAGAAACTTTGCTGTGACTTATTGCTGAAACCTCAGTACTTCAATCAATGCTAGACACCTAGAAGGCCCTCAATAAATAGAGAATGAATAAATAAATGAAATGCAGTCATTCTGTTAAGTACTCCATCCAACCCAGTTCTCACAAGAAACTTGGTATATGTCTATTTTGAGGAGAAGAAACCAAGGCTCAAGGAGAATATGTGACTGTAAGTTCTGGTAACTGGAAGAGCCTCCAGATTGTGGTACCCTAGAGGTATAAGGGATCCGAAATTTATTGCAAAGGCGGCTTCCAGCCTGGCCATTCAGCTGCACAGAGGTGACAGGGGAATATATGAAGAGGAAAGGCCAGGGGCCAGGGGATCCATGCTGGGGTGGAAGTTTTCTTGAGAGCTCAGCAGCCTCAGGAGCTTCTGCTGGGTTTGGGGTGGAACCTGTGCTGGAGTGGTGGATGGAGTGGACGGTGTCCAGGGCAGGGTAAGGATGGGGAGGAAGGCAGGAGGATCTAAGAGCCTCTTCCTTCAGTCTGCATCTGTCTTTCACGTCCCTCATGCCTGTCAAAAATGCAGCCTCCTGGGCCTGGAATTCAAGGTTTGGCACAATCCAGTCCTTGCTGCCTTTCTCTTCTCCTCTCCCCTTGCTTTCCTTGATGCCCTGGAGAAGTCCGTGCCTGCCCACTGCATCTTCGGTCACATTTTACCACTTTTTCTATCCATTTTTTGAAGCTCAGCACCTGTGCTGCCTCCTCCAGGAAGGGCTTCCAGGTTATTGTTTGTGCAGTGCTTGTCTGCAGATGTGAGGATCCCCAGGAGCTGTTGGTACCCTGTGTTGCCCTCCATGCCCATTGTATGGCTAGAACAAAGACAATAAGTATCCTGGCCCATCCATCTATGGGCCAGTTCAACTCACTATTCTGAGTTCCTGGATCTCTGGTTCTTCCTTGGGCACCTACTAGATGCTTTCAAGTCTGAAATTTAAACCTACAGTGAGGAAGGGGAATGGGTAGGATACCCCTACCAATCCCAGTCCTCAACCGCTGACATCTCATGGCCAATCAGACTTTAAGACTCTCATTACAATGATTGTTGGGTCCAGTCAGGACAGGCTTTTGGCCTTTGTTGACTCACATGGGTTGCTCCTCATTAGCCAATCACAAGATCTGCCTCCTCCTACTTTCCCACATAGGATGTATTTTAGTTAGCTTTCCATCTCTGGGACAATACACCTGAGAAAATCAACCTAGAGAAGGAAAGATTTATTTTGGCTTATGTTTGCAGAGGTTTCAGTCCATAGTCATTTGGCTCTGCTGCTTTGGGCCAGTGATGAGGCAGTCCATCATGGTAGAAGGATGCAAGAAACAAAGCTACTCACCTCATGGCAACCAAGAAGCAAAGAGAGAGCAAGAGGAAGTATCAGAGACAAAATAAACCCTTCAAAGTCATGCCCCCAGTGACCCACTTTCTCCTAATATCTCATTCAGCTATTCACTGATGAGGTTAGAACCCTCATGATCCAATCACTTCCAAAAGCCTCACCTCTGAACATTGCTGCATTGGGGACCAAGACTTCAACACATGAGCCACTGGGAGACATTCTAGATCCAAAACATAACATAGCATCTCTTAGGAGGCCCTGACCCAGTTAAAGGTCCAGGCTAAGACCAGTCTATGCCCAGACTTTCCCCTTTTTCCCCAAGATCACAGAGCAGTTTCTTTCTTTCGAGTCCTTGCTACCATTCCATTACTGGTATCTCCATTTCTTCCTGCCCCATCTTTCTTTGGACTGCTCAAGCTGCGCCAACAGAAGGGTGTGTAACTTGGAGGTCTGGCACTGTGTAAGGACAGGCAGCCCAGCCATCCCCCAGCAGCCACAGCAACCATAGCTGTGCACGCAACATCAAAGTGCACAGAGGCCCAGAACCCTATCCTATACCCTATCCTTGTCTTGGCCTCACCACCCACCCACCCACCCAAAGCAGGGGTGGGGATTCTTGCAACTAGTCTAAGCTTGTCTACATGCAGTGTCGTGGAGGGGAGAAATGAGAAGGCTCCTGCCTGCCTTCATCTCTGTCCCTCCTTCCTCTCTATCCATTCCTACCTGGGGGGCCTAGTGGGTCAGCCAGAAGAGCCAGTAAACAGAGGCCAGTGTGCACACTTGAAATAATACACACACACAAACACAGTAGTGTACAAGAAAATGTCTGGGGTCTGAGTACCTGCCGCCCCACAATGAATGTTAAGGAAAAAGAATAAGAGGTATTCTTAAGTGTGTGCACACTGGCATCTGTTTACTGGCTCTTCTGCTTGACCCACTAGGCCCCCTAGGCAAGGATGGATGGAGAGGAAGGAGGGACAAAGATGAAAGGAGGCAGGAGCCTTCTCATTTCTCTCCCCCACAACATTGGAAGTAGATAAGCTTAGACTAGTTGCAAGAATCCCCACCCCCTGCTCTGGGTGGGTGGGTGGTGAGGCCAAGACAAGGATAGGGTATAGGATAGGGTGCTGGGCCTCTGTGCATTTTGATGTTATGTGCACAGCATGCAAAGCAGATGCAAATATTATGCAAAGTAGAACTTTCTTTTTCTAGTCAACAACTCCAAGGTGCTCTGAAATGGGCTGTAGTGGGGCCTGGTACCCAAGGGGAGATATGGAGGTGACAGTAGACATCATGGCTGTTTGTAGAGAGAATGCCACATTCAAATCCTACCTACTGCATACCTGGCTCCAGGTGGGGCTCCTGAGGATTCAGATGAAAACTCTGTCCTTGAGGATTCAGGCACACAGAGAAGTCGAGGCAAGAAGGGCAGATCCATCTCCACAGGGCTTTGCTTGAGGATCTTTCAGAGGCATCTGGGTATTAAACAACACGTATGACCATATCACAGAATGGTTGAATTCTCCTGTCCTGGCCTCAGCCAAACCCAGCACCACTATTTGATTGCTGTGTGACTTTGGGCAAGGCCTTTGCCCCCAGAAGTTTCTGTATATTTGTTCATAAATTAAGAACAATAATTGTATTTCTCTCATGGGATGGTTAAAGAACTCAATAACAGGCACAGCATGGATGGACCAGTGCAAGGTGACTGGCTCTAGGTACAACAAACTCCACAGATGGCAACTGTAACGACAGTAACTGCTTTCCCAAGGTTGCCTCCACCCCTCCAACCTCTTGTGACTGGCTAGGAGGACCCAGAGAACAAAATACATGGCTATACCAGCTGTAATTGAAAGGACCAGGCATGAACCTAAGGGAAGAGCCTGAGTTTTTTCTTTCTTCCCCTACTACAGTGCTGCTTGAGAGAAGGTATCTCAACTGACTAGATGAATGATAACTAAATGCTCTTACCTTTTCTGACAGTTGGGGAGGGAGCGCTCCCATGGAGATCACTGAGTGACTCTTGGAGAATCCCATCTCAGACAGCTCAGTGAACTAACTAGGTAGACTGGGTGGGTTCCTTCCCAATGACTCCCATCCCCCAAACTGCCCTCCAAACAAAGGTGGGGGGTTTATGGGAGGAGTTTCTGCTCTCTGCAAATGAAAATAGGGCCAAAGGTGGAGTGGAAAGGTCAGGCAGTGTGTTGGGGAAAGTTCTGGTGCAGAGAAGCATGTGTGTGGAGGTAGGTGGAATAGCAGCAACACCCACAATAATAGGCAACATTGGTGAGTATCTATTCTTTTGTTATCTGTTTACTTATTGCCATACTGGGGATTGAACTCAGGACCTGGCACTTGCTAGGCAAGTGCTCTGCCACTGAGATACATGCCCAGCTCTTTTAAATTTTTTAGATTTTGGGCTTCGGATGTAGCTCAGTGGTACAGCACTGCTTGGCAAGATCTGTATTTAATCCCCCATCAATAAAATTTTTAATTAAAAATTATATATATATATATATATATATTTTGAGGAGGGATACTGGGGATTAAACTCAGGGGCACTGGACCACTGAGCCAGCCCTTTTTTGTATTTTATTTAGAGACAGGGTCTCTTGGGGCTGAGGTTGTGGCTCAGCGGCAGAGTGCTTGCCTGGCATGTTGCAAAGCCCTGGGTTCGATTTTTAGCACCACATAAAAATGAATAAATAAAATAAAGGTATTGTGTCCAACTACAAAAAAAAAATATTTAGAGACAGGGTCTTACTGAGTTGCCTAGTGCCTTGTTAAGTTGCTGAGGTTGGTTTTGAACTGGTTTTGTAATCCTCCTGCCTCAGCCTCCTGAGCCACTGGGATTACAGGTGTGTGTCAGGCCCAGCTATATGTAAATATTGAGAAAGGGTCTCACTATCTTGCCTAAGCTGGTTTCAATTTTTTTTTTTTTTAAATTGAACCCAGGGGTGCTTAACCACTGAGCCACATCCCCAGCCCCATTTTGTATTTTATTTAGAGACAGGGTCTCACTGAGTTGCTTAGTGCCTTGCTAAGTTGCTGAGGCTGGCTTTGAACTTGGGGTCCTTCTGTCTCCAGCCGCTGGGATTACAGGCTTGTGCCACCATAACCTGCCCCCCAGCCCCTTTTTATATTTTACTTAGAGAAAAGGTCTAAGTTGCTTAGATTGGGTTCAATCTTTCAATCATCCTGCCTCAAGCTCCCAGAGGCTCTCAATTATAGGCAGGCAACACCTTGCCAGGCTGGTTTCAAACTTTTGACCATCCTTCCTCAACCTTTGTGTAGATCACTGGCCCATCTATAGCCCACGCTCTGTGCCAAACATTTCAAATTATCTCATGTTCAAACTTCACAGGCCAATCTCTGTGGTCATCCAACTTCTTTTCATTTTAAATGCTTAAGGAAACTGATTGAGATGCTTGCCCAGGATACTCAGCTAGTGAATATCAGCATCAGTATGTGAACCCTGGCATTCTTGCTCCTTAGCTTTACCCTTAGCCTCCAAGCAGCTTCTCCATATCCCAAAGGGAAGTCTGGGTTCAAACCCTGCTCTTTGTATCATCAGGCTTGTCACTGTACCTCACCACCACCTCACCTATGCCTCCAATTTATCTGCCAAAATATATTATTAAGCCACCTCCTTTTGCCTCTCCACCCAGTACCCTCCCTCTCCCCACTGCTCGAAACTTTTGCCTTCCTCTGGTCTACATGGTAGCCAGAAAGATCTTTAAAAAA